GAGAGAGAGAGAGAGAGAGAGAGAGAGAGAGAGAGAGAGAGAGAGAGAGAGAGAGAGAGAGAGAGAGGTGGGTCAAGTTACTGATGACGATTGATGGCCTGTTATCCACCGTTAGTGACCGTTTGAGCTCTGAAAAAATTCTGCTACAGTCGAAGTCAATTGGCAGGAGTCAAAACTCAAAAGGCAGTACATAAAAAAAGAACAAAATAAAGTGGAATTTGAAAAGCAGAGCGCTCACAACATCCTCCTGCTCCAGCTCTCCCAAGGTCTCGAAAACTTCAGCGGAAAATGAAAAAAAAGAATGGCGTACATGCAAGAACCTTGAATTCTATGCACTGACATGAGTCCTGCATGGCATGGAGCTTAGTTCGACTATTCTCGTCTTTCGATTATGCTCGTTGAGGCTGTAGCATACTAGGTAGGATCGTCAACGTTTAAAAAACTAAATAAATACAGGTAAAATTAGTAAATACTAAATAGTAAACATGTTTGCTAAAACTTTGATGTCTGCTTTGCTGCTGTTTTGCAAACCTGCCAGTCAAGGACTGGAATCTTGATCGGTTTATTAAGCGTCACTGTCGCCGTCACATGTATGTCGTACTCCTTACCATTTACCGACTGAGGCTTCCACGTTTGAGGCTTGAGCTTTCCTCCTTACTCAACCATGGCATTGTCTTCTCTGAAGCCAATACCATTCATCAGCAAGCCAGTCTCAAGAGGTATCTGATAGCGACACTGGCAACCATGCGATAGTACCTCCTGCGCAAGAGAGACCTGCTTTGAGGAGGTTCTGTGGTCATACCGCTGGGTGCATGGTGTATAGCAAAGGATGGAGAGGACGTCTGTCTTTCGGGACATCCGTTAAAATTGGAACGATACAGAGAATGAAGATTAGCATGGCCCGTGTGCAAGGATGACGCGCATAAATCGAGAAACAGTCCAAATTTCAAAAAAAAAAAAGGAGGACGGAGAGGTGGTCTGCAGTACTATGTACTTGGTTTGCACTACTGTGTACTTTGGTTGGAAGTATGTACACCTGCTTTCAGTTACCTTGGAACAGCTTTCAGGGTCTGCAAGGTGGACGGCTGCTTATCACCGATGTACTCATAGCACTGGATACATAGTATAAGGGAGGGAGAGGTGGTCTGCGGTACTCTGTACTTGGTTTGCAGTACTTCGTACGTGGTTGGAAATATGCCCACCTGCTTTCAAATACCTTGCAACAGCTTTCAGGACCTGCAAGGTGGACTTCTGCTTATCACTGCTGTAGTCATAGCAATGGGTACATACTAAATAGTATAAAGGACGGAGACGTGGTCTGCAGTACTACTCCGCCTCAGCAAAAAAAGGCTCCTAGGTAGTGGTGGTTTAGTATCTCTAACAACTCTAGAAATATGATTACATAAGCATTTTCAATTGTGCAAGGTAACCGCACAGGGGAGACTCTGATTATAAGCTCCGTGAACGGCGTGAAGTGAACTCTCTTCACCAGCATGCACATGGCAACCAGCCTAGGGCATACTCACACTGCGACTTTTTCCTGGATGCATACGACTGCTTTTTTCAGACCAGGCCTATGCATTTGACCGCGATTATGTCCACAGAGAAGTGAAAAAAGTCCTACTAGTGGTGTCAGCATGCCCTATTGAAATAACAGAAAAACAGAAAATGACAACGCAATGTTCGCGCACCAGCACAAGAACGGACAATGCTGAACTCACTCCTTGGTGAGGGGAAAAGCCGTCTTCCCCTTCTTGCCTCCCGGCAATCAATAGAACAAGAACAAGAAGAAGAAGAAGAAGAAGAAGAAGAACAGTTCTTTGCACTCACTGTTCTCTCAACCAGCAGATACGACCAACCGGCTACGCATGCGTCTACCCTACCGAACGCCATGTCATGATCGCCGTATCTGGACGGAAAGTTGCCCCAAATACAGCTATAATGACCGGGAGTTCTATTCGGGTGAAGAAGGTAGCCTGCACTAGACCATAGTACAATGCCGCAGAGTAATGAGTTGCTTTCCACGGATGCCCGTTCGGAGAACGTATATCAACGCTGGAACGCTTCTTGGTGACAACCAGGTACATCCCTCGGCCAACCCTTTCCTTCTCCATGGGATTTTCATCCCTCCGAGTATCTCCCCTTCGAGCACGGTCGTCTTTTTCTGCATCTCACTGCTCCAAAGCTTTGGCACGGGTCTTCTTCCTCCTCCACACATCTATGGCTGCCACTGGCTGGATGCTAGGTGCTGCCATCACCTGCTACCGTCTTCACCCAAATAGAACGCCCAGTAATTATTGTCGTATCTGGACTGACAGTTGCACCAAATACAGCTATGATGACCTGGCATTCTATTCGGATGAAAACAGTCGCGCTACTCGACTTAGCGCTCTGGCAACCCGGCGGCATCGAGTCCGGCTACCCTGGCCTTTCCTGCAAAAACCACAGGGCTTGGGGCATGCAGCCAATTGTGTCTGTGGGTCCGTACACGGGCCTGGCCAACTCCTGTTTCAGGAATCTCCGGCACAGACACCTTACAGTTACACTAATGGGTTCATAGGTGGTGTCATTTTCGGCTAATTTTAAACCGAAACAGTCGAAACTGCCATATTTACCTTCATTTTGGGCCTTCCATTAAACCATCTCTCGCCAACTTGAGAATCACGATCAAGGCTCTCCGAACTTTTCGGAGGCTCAGGGCAACCGGACCAAAATGGCTGGCAGCGCCAGGCAAACTTAAAGCAAACCGCCCTCCGCCTTGTACGACACAGGGACAGATGTGACTTGTCCTTAAATACCACAGCTGGACCCTGGTGAACCAATAGGCACAACCTCATGAAGTCTTCCCAACACAGGTCGTGCCCTACCAGGTCCCAGGCAGCCCTACCAGGGCCCCCCGTCTTGGCCTGACCAGGTCTCTACTTCTTCTGGCCCGAGCTCAGGGCCTACCCTCTGCTGCCCGCTGAGACGGTCACGAGGCTTCACACAGTTCTGACGTAAGGATTAAGGACTGACATTCGAACCAGGACAAACAAGATTTCATCCAGCAAGAAATTACTTAAGACATT